AAAAAAGCAGGACCCAACTGTATGCTGCCTACAAGAAACATACTTTAAATATAAAGACACAAATAGGTTAAAAGGATAAGAGGAAAAAAAGGTATACTGTGCTAACCCTAATGAAAAAAGAGCTGGAGTGGCAATATGAATGTCAGACAAAGTAGATTTCAAAGCAAAGAATATTTCCAAGAATTAAAAGATCATTTCAGGGGCTTCCCTGGTGGCGCAGTGGTTGAGAGTCTGCCTGCCGATGCAGGGGACACGGGTTCGTGCCCCGGTCCGGGAAGATCCCACATGCCGCGGAGCGGCTGGGCCCGTGAGCCATGGCCGCTGAGCCTGCGTGTCCGGAAACGGGAGAGGCCAGGACAGTGAGAGGCCCGCATACAGCAAAAAAAAAAAAAAAACAAAAAAACAAAAAAAAAAAGATCATTTCATAGTGATAGAGGTATAAATACATCAAGAGAAATTAAAATGCTAATGATGTATGCATTTAATAACAGGATTTCCGTGAATGAGGCAAAAACTGATAGACAAATCTACAATTGTAGCCCGAGATTTCAGTGCCTCTTCTCAATACTTTTTTTTTTAGCATCTTTAGTGGAGTATAACTGCTTTACAATGGTGTGTTAGTTTCCGCTTTATAACAAAGTGAATCAGCTATACGTATACATATATCCCCATATCTCCTCACTCTTGGGACTCCCTCCCACCCTCCCTATCCCACCCCTCTAGGTGGTCACAAAGCACTGAGCTGATCTCCCTGTGCTATGCGGCTGCTTCCCACTAGCTATCTATTTTACATTTGGTAGTGTATATATGTCCCTGCCACTCTCTCACTTCGTCCCAGCTTACCCTTCACCCTCCCTGTGTCTTGAAGTACATTCTCAACATCTGCGTCTTTATTCCTGTCCTGCCCCTAGGTTCTTCATAACCTTTTTTTTTTTTAGATTCTATATATATATGTGTGTTAGCATATGGTATTTGATAGAACCTATAGACAGAAAAATAGTAAAGATACAGAAGACTTGAAAAACACTTATCGTATAACTTGACGTAACTGACATTTCAGAACACTCCATCCAACAATAGAACATACATTCTTTTCAAGTGCATATGGAATATTTACCAACAGACCATATTCTGGAATATAAAATAGGTCCCCATAAATTAAAAGGATTGAAATCATATAAAGTTTATTCTCTGACCACAATGAAATTAAATCAGAAAACAATATCAGATAGATGTCTAGAAACTCCTTCAAATATTTGGAAACTATATAATGTTTTTCCAAATAATTTATGCATCAAGGAAGAAATCAAAATGGAAATTAGAAAGTATTTTGAACTGAATGAAAATAAAAACTCAACATTTCAAAATTTGTGAGACACTGCTAAAATAATATCTAGAGTGAAATGTATAGCATTAAAGCCTTTATTTAATAAAAGAAAAGATGAAAGATCTCAGGTCAATGAGTTCAACTTCCACCTTAGGAAACTGGAAAAAGAAGAGCAAATTAAACCCAAAGTAAGCAGAAGAAAGGATATAACAGGACTTCCCTGGTGGCACAGTGGTTAAGAATCCTCCTGCCAATGCAGGGGACATGGGTTCGAGCCCTGGTCTGGGAAGATCCCACATGCCACAAGCAACTAAGCCTGTATGCCACAACTAGTGAACCTGTGCTCTAGAGCCCACAAGCCACAACTACTGACCCTGTGCACCACAACTACTGAAGCCCACGTGCCTAGAGCCCATGCTCTGCAACAAGAGAAGCCACCGCAATGAGAAGCCCACACACCACAATGAAGAGTAGGCCCCACTGGCTGCAGCTAGAGAAAGCCCGCGCGCAGCAACAAAGACCCAATGCAGCCAAAAATAAATGAATTTAAAAAAATAATAATAATAATAAAATCTCTCACAAATTTGTTGAAAGGCATAAACAAGTTAATAAATGCAAAATGTTCAGTAATGTGAGTGCCCAGCACAAAGTAAGCACAAATAAATATTTGTTAAATAAATTTTTTTAAAAAGGATATAACAATGAGAGCAGAAATAAACATAATAGAAAACAGAACAATAAAGAAAATCAATTTAACCAAAAGCTAGTTCTTTAAGAATATAAATAAAATTGATAAACCTCTAGCCAAACTGATCAGGAAAAAAAGAGACATGACACAAATTCCCAATATCTGGAATGTGAGAGGTGATATCAGTACAGATTCTACTAATATTAAAGGAAAGTAAGGAAATACTATGTACAACTTTACGCCGATAAATTTGACAACTGTTTTAAAAACTGAATTTGTAGTTACAGCTCCAGCCCAGAAGACTTCATAGGTAAATTCTACCAAATATTTAAGGAAATAAAGAAACCAGTTCTACTCAAACTCTTCTAGAAAATTGAAAAGGAAGAAATCCTTCCAAACTCATTTTGTGAGACCAGCGTTACCCTAATACTAAAACCAGTTTTAAAATCTATAAGAAAAGAAAACTACAGACTAATCTCCCTCATGAGCATAGACGTAAAAATTCTTAACAAAATGCTAGCAAACTGAGTCCAGCAATGTATAAAAGGGCAAATATATCATGAACAAGTGGATTTTATCCTAGAAATGCAAGGTTGGTTTAACATTCAAAAATCAATCAATGTTATTTACATTATTGACATACTAAAAAAGAAAAACTATGTGACTATCTCAATAGATGCAGAAAAAGCACTTGGCAAAATTCAACATCCATTCCTGATTTGAAAAACAAATTTAAAAACCTCCCAGGAAAATAGGAATACAAAGAAACCTCCTCAACTAGATAGGGGCTTCTATGAAACACCAAGTTACCATCATAAATAACAGTGAAAAGCTCAATATGTTCCCCATAACTCTGGGAACAAGGGGAGAATGTTTGCTCTTACCATTTATACTCAACATTGTACTGGAGGTTCTAGACAATGCAGTAAGGCAAGAAAAAGACATTGAAATCATCCAGATTGGAAAAGAAGTAAAATGTCTTCATTTACAGACAATATTATCTTCAATATAGAAAATCTGTGGAATCTACCTCCCACCCCACCCAAAATAAAAAAAAGGCTATGGGAACGAATAAGCAAGTTAGGCAAAGTTGCAGGATACAAGATCAATACAAAAATCAGTTATATTTCTATATGCTAGCAATGAAAAATCAGAAATTTAAGTTAAAAACAAAACCATTTATAATTGCATTAAAAATACTTATATCTAGTTATAAATCTGACAAAAGATGTGACCTTGGTTTGTACAAAGATTTTTTAGATATGACACCAAAAGCATGATCCATTAAAGAAAAAATTGCTCAACTGGACTTCCTCAAATGAAGACTTTCTGCTTTTTGAAAAACACTGCTAAGAGAATAAAATGACAAGCTACAGACTTGGAGAAAACAGTTGCAAATCACACATCTGATAAAGGACTTTAATTAAGTATATTAAGGAACTTCCAAAACTCAATAGTAAGGAAAAAAACCCAGTATAAAATGGGCAAAGAATCTACCTCTCCAGAGAAGATAAATAGGTAGCAAATAAGCACGTGAAAGATTCTCAGTATCTTCAGTCACTAGAGAAAAGCAAGTTGAAAACACAAAGAGATTCCACAGTGTACCTATTAGAATGGCCAAAATTAGAAAGATTGACCATACCACGTGGTGACAAGGATGGGCAGGAACCGGACTCTCATACACTGCCATTGAAAATGTGAAATGGCACAACTGCTTTAGAAAACAGGGCCATTTCTTTAAAAGTTAGACTTACACATACCAAATGATCCATCCATTCTATATCTAGGTGTTTACACAAGACAAGTGAAAGCATATGTTCATACAGAGATTTATACACTAATCCGTAGCAGCTTTATTTGTAATAACCAAAAACTGGGAAATACCCAAATAACCATCAATAGATGAATGGAGAGGTGCACGGGAGAGATTGTTAAGGGACATAAAGAGACTTTTGGTGGTGAAGGATATGTTCATTGTGTTGATTGTGATGATGGTTTCACTGTTGCATGTATGTGCCAGAACATATCAAGTTGCACAGTGTAAGTATATGCAGTTTATTGTATGTTAAAACTCTAAAAAAATAAACAATAATAAAGCAAAAAGAAAGTAAGACTCACTATTGGAATTCATACTAGTGTAAATATTACTGGAAAACTGTTGTGTAAGTTAGAATTTTTTTTTAAATATCAGTACATCAATGGACACTTTTTAAAGCAAAGAACGCTTTCGTAAAAGTAATCTTCACTATTGAATGCATCTGTTTTTTTGACTCCTGATGCAATATATTGTGTTTCCTTAAAGAGGATGTACATCCAGTCTGCTGGGATGACAGCAGCACATTTGCACTTCTTTTCAAGAGCCTTTCATGACAACAGTGGCATCATGGTGGCCATGCTTTGTCTTGAAGTGGCGGAGGGCAGTTGCGATAGATAGCTGGCTACATCCACTCCTTCATACACATTCCGTTTAGTTCCCGTGTTAAATTACGTACTGTGATTAGATATTTACTCTGCTTGGCATCTTAGCCAAATTTCAGCTTAGGAACTTACACGTGCTTCATCCAGGCAGCACTGCCAATACTTCAGAATGAGTCATTTCCTCTTAACACAAAGCTCAGTTAATACTTGCACTGCGACTCTGTATGTGTGAAAGTTCGCTTTCAGTCCACTAACAAAATTAAAACTACCAAGTTTTAAAGTAGGTATGCGTTTTGAATGTTTTGGGTGTTCCGTTAAAGGACCTGGCTTTGTTTCCGCGTGGTAAAAGGACTCAGTAAGAGGAAAGGAGAGAAGTCAGCCACAGAACACAACCTTCCAGATGTTTTCTGAGCTCACAGTGCTAACTGCGCGTAAGATGCTAATGGACAGTTCTGCTTCTTTCGCCCTGGCTCAGGGCGGTGACTCCCAGGCGCTCAGCATCCTTTCTCACTGTGTCTCTCTGACTCAGGGAGCCGTGATGACCCAGGCTTGCTTGCTTTCTTTCAGGGTGTGAACGGCATGTCTGTGGATGAGAAGCCTGACTCCCCCATGTATGTGTATGAGTCCACAGTCCACTGCACCAACATCCTCCTGGGCCTCAATGACCAGCGCAAAAAGGATATTCTCTGTGACGTGACTCTGATCGTGGAGAGGAAGGAGTTCCGGGCCCACCGAGCTGTGCTGGCCGCATGCAGTGAATACTTCTGGCAGGCGCTGGTTGGACAGACGAGAAATGACTTGGTGGTCAGCTTGCCTGAGGAGGTACAGTAGTTTGGTTTGTTCGTGCAGTTGCTAACGGAGGTTTGTTGACTTGGAGACAGTTGGCTGAGGAGGACCTGGAAGGTAGGACCTGTGCCACATCCCTGCTTGGGGGCTGATGATCAAGTCGCCCACACGTTAGGTTTGCGGCAGAGCCAGTTTCTATTGGATGCATTTCACGTCTCAGAGGCAAGAATCTGAACCGCACCTGTGCCTCACAGTCCTTTCTAGTTTCTAGTTCACTTACTCTTCGGGTTTTGAGTAGTTTGCCCAAAGTTTAGTACAGTCCTACATGTGGGATCTCAATCATTGGGACTGTTGCTGTGATTTTTCTCTTTCAAATGGTTGAAGGAACACTTGATTTCCCTTGAGAGTAAAAGAATGAAAGTATTCACAGCACCTTCCTTGCCCAGGGGGAAGAGTAAAAGCAGGCAGTCATTTTCACAGTTAATATAGTAAGATTCTAAGAAGTGTAAACTTGCTTTTCTCACCATCGTTGAAAATACCCTACTCAGGTTTCTTAATTACTTCAGGGAGTCTAGTCACTTCTGTACTTTGGGGACACTAGTAGCTGGACTTGTTCTGTCCAGAGATGACATACAGTTGGATGGTTTGAGCTGCCAGAACTCAAAGGATGGGCTTCATGCCGACAAACCATTAAATTGGCCACCCCTTTGAACTGTCTATACAGTTACTCTTTTTCCATCACCCTGATTCCCCTTCATTTTTGTGGGACTAAGGGTAACACTGAGCAGCTTTAGGCTTTGTGTTCAAGGCCAGAATCATTCCCTGTGCACCAGCACGGTCTACAACACCAGGGCTGCCACTGACAGTTGTGCAGGCTGTGCACTGCACAACTCTCAGGGGTACAACTCATGTTCATAGTCTGTGTGAAGAGAGACCCAGAGTTGTGCCGTGATCCACAGAGCAGCTCTTCACAGCACCCCTAGGAGAAACCAAAGACCGGGTCACCCTGAGGGAGGTGCTAATGGGCACAACTAGCATTAAGTCTCAGGGGTCACAGATCCAGTGTCTCCAGAGGCCTGGCAACTCATATAAATGAGTAAAGCAGGTTGTGTATAAGAAGTAGGACATTGGGGCTTCCCTGGTGGCGCAGTGGTTGAGAGTCCGCCTGCCGATGCAGGGGACACGGGTTCGTGCCCCGGTCCGGGAAGATCCCACATGCCGTGGAGCGGCTGGGCCGGTGAGCCATGGCCGCTGAGCCTGAGCGTCTGGAGCCTGTGCTCCGCAATGGGAGAGGCCAAAACACTGAGAGGCCTGCGTACCGCAAAAAAAAAAAAAATTAGGACGTGGTGGGGCAAGCAGCTGCTCCACAGAAAGACATTCAAGTTCAACATAAAAAACAAATAGACATACACGCTACTGTGTATAAAATAACCAACAAGGAAGCTAGCGTAGCTTTATTGATACCAGTCAAAATAGACTTTAAGACAACGTTATTTGCACAGGGAACTAGATTCAATATCTTGTATTGAACCTATAATGGAAAAAAATCTGAAAAACAATATATATATATCAATATATATTCATAAATATAACTGAATCACTTTGCTATTCACCTGCAACATTGTAAATCAACTATTCTTCAATTTTAAAAAATCCATCTATACCCCCCCAAAAAAACAAAAATAGACAGGGGGTCAGAGGGGTCACCAGATCCAGTCCCCTGTTAGGAAATGTCTGCTGTTACCCCTGCAGAGCAGGAAAGTGGCAAAGTGAGGGCTACATAGGCAGTTTCACATGAATATTCTTTGTTATGTACCTAAATGAAGGGCTCCATTACTACTCCTCACACCACTGTCAAGTAGAAAGATCCTAATACTAGAAACAAAAGGACAAATCAGTTGAAGATAATGTAATTGGGGCTGGAGGAGGGAAGGATGCTTATGTACCAAGTGATGTGGGAAGGCCAAGAAATGGCAGCTGTGGTGTGACTGGTGATCCTGAGCTGCATTAATGGTCAAATACTTAACCCGTCATTAGGTGAGAGGATAAATATAAAAGACTATGTTTAAACTGGTTGGCGTTCGTCAAATTTAAGACTCTTCTTCTCTTGAGGGGCAGCAAGTGTGCCTTTGAATTTACTTCAACTCTAGAATTCTCTGAAAATATCTGACAAACTTCCAATTATCCCGAATGGTTTTAGGAAGGGGGTGGAGTTTACAGTTAATTTATTATCTGTATCTGTTTGAAAGTCACCTCATATATGTTTTCTACTAATTTCCAAAAAAAATAGATTACATTAAAATATATTTACAAATGAAAACCATAATTTATGTAATTTAGTCTCTCTACCATGACTGCGGGCCCCATCTGGAGACGCCCTGGACCTTGTGCTGTAAACCCTGGCCTGCCCCCCAGTTAGCTCTGTGATCCTGATCTAGTCACTTAACCTCTCTGAGCCCCAGTTCTTACCTGTAAAAACCTCTAAAATGCTGAAGCCCTTAAATTATTTATCATAATACAATACCAAGGCAGTAAAACCTAACCTAAACATTTCTTTTTAGGTCAAATCCCTGATAATCACTTATTTCCTTGGCACTGGGCACTCTTTGAAGTAAGAGTGTGTAGATGCCACACAAAAGTCTGCTGTTTGACCTTTTGATTGTTCGTGTTCCAGTTAAGTGAGAGTTTGCTACGTGTTGATTTTCTTTCTAGTTGTGTAAAATGATTTCTGTTCCTACATCATCTGCATTTCCAAATAATTAAAACATTCTGGTTCTTCATGTACCTGAAACCTTCAGATATAACGAGACACTTTTTTTTTTTCCTATGAAACGTGAATTCGTATTGTCAGTAACCCAGCTCGAGTCATCCTGCTGATGGGCATGCAGGCCAGCCCCCACGTGGCATTTTCCTTTGTGGGTCTGTAATTGTTTCTGAGGCCTCCTTCCAGGAGCCTCTGCCTCTGCTCAGAGGCCCCTCCTGGGGCCCCAGGCGCTGGGCATTGTTTTCTCTCCTTGCTGTGTGCACGCTGAAAGGTCCTTGCAGGCTCTCAGAAGCTGTCCCACTTAGCTCAGTGAATGACTTCATAGAATCTGAATTAAGTGGTGAATAAACAAACATCCCAAACACTACCTTGGAAAGTAGCTGCATGGAACTCACTGGCATTTGGTTCATATGATGTAAGAAAAAGCATTTGACTCGCTCCTTGGAAGTCTTTAAACTTCATCATAAGCCATCACGAATTCAAATCACCTTCCGGCCCGGTCCCAGCCTTGATCACGCTTGGCTTACCTCTGCGCTCCCTGCCCGGCCAACTGCTGAGCTTCACAGGGGCCGGCATGGCTGAGTCTGAAAGCTCCGTCCGTGGGTTATGTTTCTTTTTTTTTAATATTTATTTATTAATTTGGCTGTGCTGAGTCTTAGTTGCGCGTGCGGGATCTTCGTTGCAGCACACGGGCTCCTCAGTTGCAGCATGCGAACTCTTAGTCGCGGCACGCATGTGGGATCTAGTACCCTGACTAGGGATCGAACCCGGGCCCCCTGCATTGGGAGCACGGAGCCTTAGCCACTGGACCATCAGGAAAGTCCCTGAAAGCTCTGTCTTTGGACTAGGAAACTTCCAGATACAAACCGCTGCCCTTCTCACTCCGCTGCTCTGTCAGTTTAGGCCAAACCCGGCTCCAGCCTGCAGCCGCTGTCCACTTGTGCAGTTCTAGCCCCATGCCCTGACTCCCGGTGGGCAACGCCGTTACCCACAAAGTAGAGCCGACCAGAGTCCCGGTGTAGCCTCTCAGCTGAAAACGGGAGAGACAAAAATAGAGGCCTCCTCCTGGAAGTCAAGGAGTCATGGAGTTGTCTTGCTTTTTTCTTCTTTTCCTAAACTGGCATGACAGATTGTCCCTAGGATTTCTGTGACTTGAGTGTTGGTTCCTCATGGAAAAGCACATCCAGGGATGTGTGTCAGCAAAACGCAGGAGATAAGGCATTGTCCTTAGTACTTCTGTTCGGGATGAAACAGGTCATTTGGTTTGTAATAGCAAGTGTATTTCGTGTTAAGAGATGAAGAGAAAGTGGGTCGTGTACCAAGCGTGGCAAGGCCCTTCTTGCACTGCTCCTTCGGATTCAAGCTGCCTCAATGAACACCTCCTCAGCTATGGTCATAGAGACCACTTAGGCTGGATGCCGGCCATGCTGGAAGTGGCATCGCAAGCATGATGTTAAGGTTATGGTGTGTCAAGTACAGAGGGCAGGAAAGGGGTGCAGCTTTGCCCATCAACCCCATTCTGATGAGCTGCTCGACTCCCACCCAGAATGCTAGGGAAGAGCGGCTGAAAGGAGGTTATTGCCAAGGTCTATTATCAGAAAGTCAAAAGATAACAAGTGTTGGCCAGGATGTGGAGAAAAGAGAACCCTTGTGCACTGTGGTAGGAACGTAAATCAGTAGAGCCACTGTGGAAAACAATATGGAGGTTCCTCAAAACATTAAAAATAGAGCTACCATACGATCCAGCAGTCCCGCTTCTGAGTCTATATCCAAAGGAAACAAAATCACTATCTCAAAGAGATGCCTGCACTCCCATATTCATTGCGGCATTATTCACAATTGCCAAGACATGGAAACAACCTGAGTGTCTGTCAGCAGATGAATGGATAAAGAAGCCGTGGTCTGTGTATAAACACACACATACATACACACAAGTAAATATTATTCAGCCTTTAAAAAAAGAAGGAAATCCTGCCATTTGCAACACGGATAAACCTGGAGGAAATTATGCTAAAGTCAAATGAGAAAGACAGATATTGCATATTCTCGCTTATATGTGGCATCTAAGGAAAAAAAGTCAAACTCATAGTAACAGAATTGAATGGTGGTTACCAGAAGCTGGAGGGTAGTGCAAAAGGAGAGAGGTTGATCAAAGGGTACAAACTTTCGGGTATAAGATGAATAAGTTCTGGAGACCTAATGTACAGCATGGTGAGTGTAGTTAATAATAACGTATTATGGGAACTTCCCTGGTGGTGCAGTGGTTAAGAAT